CCGTCAGCGAAAGTTCACAGGATAATGCATGTTACTGACTTTTCCTTCAAGAAGTTCACGAGCTCGATATCACCGTACTCGCCGAAGTCTCTCTTGAGCTTCTCTTCGTTGAACGACTCGAAGTCCTCGATGTTGCCAACATAGACATTTCTCGTCGCACCGGAGTGCACAGCGAGTGCCAAACTGGGAGGCAACGGGCCAGAGTTCTTACCCCAGCCAATCTTCAGGCGGCGGTTGTTGAGCGTGAGCCCCTGGTACGAGGCGACTTGGAAGAAAGTAAACGCAGCCGCAGGATCAACAAATGTCACAAACTGCGGATCAACCATCAGCGATCACGTGAAAAAGGATAAAAATATCACGCACAGCAATATGCTTGTCCTGCATGTATCGCACACTCTGCAGTACACCTCCTCTTATAGAATTACACAAATCCTCAGTTGAAGTTTCAGGGTGGATGTTGCCCAAATATACAGTTCTATTGAGGCTTTGAGTTCCTCCCATGGCGTGCAGTGAATCAGGTGAAAACGGGGCGTAAGGCGAAAATGGCGTCCCGAAGTGTGCTGGGCCCGCGCCAGGGGACAGCGTGGCGGATTGCGCTACCAGAGATTGAGCGGCAGCAGCTTGGGCAGCCTGGGCAGCTGCCTGTTGCGATTTCGGGATGTATGCGCAACGATCCTTGCCGTAGTTGACGCGCTTTCCGGCCCATGCAGGTTCCTGGGGTAAGGCATTGACCACCTAAGAACACGTACAGTATTAGCGGTGTTCCATCGAGAGCGGGAATAGGACAAACCTTTGTGGCAACAGATATACTCAAAAAGTGCACAAAACCAATGTTTTTGTCGCGGACGATCTTGACCTGATCGATCAAACCGAAGCGACTTAGATCATCACGGAGTTGCTCCTCCGTCATATTCTCATCAAGACCCCCGAGATAGACGTTTCTGCTCGCATTGCTTTGACTAATAGCCAGGCTAACTTGAGCGGAAACAGGCGAGGGCTTTCCCCAACCAATTTTGAGCTCCTGTCCGTGTAGAGCGAGTTTTTTGATGGTGGCATCTGCGTGGAAAGCAGCAGCCGTGGCGCCATCAAGGAACGACAGGAAAACGCATGATTTCTCGGGAAGCACACGAATGGATTCGAGGGGACCAAAGTGTACCAAGTTCAAAAGTTCATCAACGGATGCCGTCGCAGGGAGATTACCGACATATACAGTTCGTCCAGTTGCGTTCGTCGTCGCAGATAAAGCAGCGCTCAATGCAGCGGGAGAGTATGCGCTCGGAGCAGACGGGATATTGACATTGAGCGAGGGAAGGCGTGATTGCGGGCTAAATGCCTGCATAGAATCATACTGTATAGGTTAGCGCATACGCTGACAAATCACAAATTGCTTACCTGTCCAAAGTTGCCCATTTGAGCATTGTAGGGGAAACCACCGAGCATATTCATGCTAGGAAGACCCATGCCGAGCATATTATAGCCAAAGCCTCCGCCGTAAGCACCGTTAGCTTGTTGCTGCTGTTGTTGCTGTTGTTGCTGTTGCTGTTGCTGAGCAAATGCAGCATGGTTGTGTGGGCTCATCTGCGGGTTCATACCAGCACCATTGACAGCCGTGTTGATGGTGAGTTGGGGCGTCGAATAGAGATGGCTTGGCGTGAATCCGGGCGAGGAATTTTGAAAGCCGGATTGAGATAGGTTAGCTTGTGGACCATAGCCATAGTTTGCGAAAGCATCTCGGGTAGCTGCACTGGGAGCGGCGGAAAGGCCATTTGTACCATTCGACCCATTAAAGGACGTTGGAGACCAGCGAGCTTTTTTAGCATCAGGACCACCGGGGGCATCCATAGATCTCTGTTGGAAAGCATGAGGTTCAGTTGTCAGTTGGGTACTGCCAGCGCCAAAACAGACCTTCATCATATCGATGTCAAAACCGTAAGAAGGATAGTGACTTGCAAATACTGTCTGAGAGTCATCCATTGTTGGGGTAGGATATGTGGGGGAGAGTTACGAGAAGAAATGGATGGATTTTAGAAGGCAACGGCGGAATGTTTGTAGAAAAAAAAAGAGGGTAGATGTTAGAGAAAGAATGTAGACCGAGGTAGGGACCGTGGAGGGACAGTAAGAGCCCGAAGGAGGAGCTCAGACAAACGAGTGTGGTTGAGTTGGCAAAAAAAAGACACGCACAAAAAGGTGGAGTGAAGAGTGCGGTGTATAGATAGATTTAAACTTGGGTAAAACTTGATAAAGAGAATAAGACTGTTTTTTCTCTTGAATTCACGGCTGCTGCCCACCCACGAATAATAAAGAAAAGTCGCAGGAAATGGCGGGCGGCAAGGACGAACGCAAGAACGAATACGTTACACCGGGACGTGAATGAAAGAAGACGAAAACTATCTGTTGAAACTGAAACCCGACGCTTCCCGCTCAAACCCATCCTTACTTTTCCCACCCAGCGGCTAAGACCGCGCACGGACCCTGCACATATCTATCCACGTAAATCACAATGGCATTAGAATGTCTTGCTACAGTATTTACTCGTCGCATAGTGTACTTTCTTCACCTTTCACAACGCCCACTTCTTCCCATAAATCCATCTCGTAAATCTTTTCCTCGTGCCGATCATGCTCGTCCGCTTCATCCTCCTCTAAAAGTTCCGCAAGCAAAGCCTCCTCATCCAACTCTTCCGATACTAAGTCTATCTCCTCATCCGCTTCCTTAGGGGGAGAGAAGCGTGCTATCCGCGAGCGCCTCGCCTCCTTCATATACGACGCCGACAGTGTGTCCATGAACCGGAGATCACCGGAGAAGGCGGATGGTACACGGATGATAGGCGTGTAGATCTCACGATGGGGAGAAACACTTGGAAGGGGAGCGTCACTTTCACCCCCGGACTCCTGATCGTCCGTGGCAGTGCCTGTCTCTTTTCCCTTCTCTGTCGCAGAAGGCACGCCATGATGCGCAAACAGTCTCGCAAAGTGTGCCTTCCTGTCCGCACTCTTTCCGCCCACGACTTTCGCAGCCTGGTCGATAGCAGCGGCTGTAATCTAGAGCCAGAGTTTGAGTAAAAATAAATTGGTGGTGACGGCAACTAACCTGGTCCAGAGCAGTTCTCCAGACCTTGCTCCGTGTTTTGGATTTAGTCTCCAGCTCACGACCGACGATGACATGGTGCATCACATCTGTTATAAAGTTGACAACAGTCGCTTGCAAATATTGTAACATATCAGCAGAGACAGATGTAGTACTGGATTCGTCAGGAACGTCTTCAATGATCTTGTATACGCTAAACCAACTCATTAGAGTCGAACAATTGGTGTACAAAAAGATACATACTCCACAAGTTTACCCAAGGTGTTGAGGTGGAAGAGATCCATGCTGTGATCGCGGAGCCAAGCTCCATTAATTCCAGCTGTCCCAAATTCCTTCTTGATCTTGTAGAATCGCGTCCGGCCCCGAACTTTGGGTTTGGGTGCTGAAGGGTTGTGAGCTTGTGCGCCTTCCTCGTTCTCCGGTGAAATAGAATCGTCAAGTGGCTGCCCAGGGGCAGGCTCCGGTTCAAGATTTATCACTTCACAATTATCATTAGAGGTCTGGATTTGTCCTGGCGTGTGGCGGGCTTTACGGCCAGGTTTGATGCGAGTAAGGTCGGTCACAACAGCTTCGCCCCGTTGTTGAGCGCGTTTTCGGCGCATATAGATTCGTTTTTGGTGTCGTCTGCGCGACGTTGGCGATAACGCTGTGAGCTCCGCAGTGTCGGAATCAAGCGGGACATCGACTGAGGCCACAAGGGGTGGAGTTGGGCGAGCAGGCGCAACAACTTCAGATTGCGTGACTGTGATTTTGGAGGGACTGACGGCGACGGCCGCTAGTTGAACATCTGTGAGGGGTATGGGTATTGGAGCATGTGGGATCGAGAACTGATGTCACTTACTGTGCGATAGAGCCAGTAACGCAGGATCGATCATTTGGTCGGATATAAGACTCGGAGGAATAGCTTCATCGGATTTGTGACTAGGCGTGCTTTCCTGCATTTCACTCTCTATAGTTGTCTCAGCATCATCGTCCTTTCTTGTCTTCTGTTCCAAATCCTCTCTGATAATCGCGTCCAATACCTGCAAATGTATCTCCTCCAGATGCGCCAGGATATCCTCCCGGTCCCACAAAAACTTTTCCTTCGCCTTCCATTCTTTGAAGTTAGCCTTGGCGACCTGCCGATCCCCACCATCTACCACCACCACTTCGTCGCCTTGCTCTACTTTGCGCTTCTTCGCTTTCGGGGGGAGCATCTCTTTCCTCTTCCGCTTGACCATTTCGGTTCGCATGCCGTCCCTCCAGGCATCCGCCCAGTCGTCTTCTTGTCTCGCAAGTTCGCTCGCCATCCGCTCTTCCGCCTCTACCCACTCGTCTGATACCTCCATTGCCGCCTCGTGCATCATTGCTGCGCTCCCCTCTCCCTCCTCCGTCCTAGTGGCTTCTTCTAACACACACAGATATTCACACACCTCGGAAATATTTTTCGTCTTGACCGCTGCAGCGATCAGGTCCGGTCGCCATCGCGAGTACACGGAAAGCCCACGGAAGAAAAGATTTTGCTCAGATTGACTCCATGAGACGGTGCTCGATCGCCATACAATGTGATCGCTTTCGTCCAGCGGAGCAGAGGATGATAACGAGCCGTTCAAGTGGGCTTGCGTCGCAGATAGATGGCGGTGGAATGAAGGTAGATACCCTGCATAGATATTGTACTCCTGTTCTACATCATTTACATCGTCTCGGAGGAGTGGTTCTTCTGCCACTTCTGCTGCGACGAAATTAATAGAGGTTGGTGGGGCGGTAGCATCTTCTCCTGTGGACATGAGTATTGATCATGTTCTTGACCGTACGAAAGTTCAGGCAATTGGTAACCTTTGCAAGAGGGTGTTCAAGAGAGCAAAAACTTGGAGCGTTGAGCCGCAAAGACCAAACAAGGGCAATCTCTTCCGCAGTATTCAATCAAAAAAGTAAGGTGCTACCAGGGTTCGAACCTGGGTTTCGGGAAGTTTCAAACTCCGACGATTTCTCAAAATCCCGAGTGATAACCACTACACTATAGCACCGATGTTGCTAGCAACATCTAAGGGAACTTTCAGGAAATACAGAATCAAACAACTTGTCCCGTAAGTCTTGAAGTCTCCTTCATTGAAGCTGGACAGGCATCACAACAAGGCTCCCCAACAGCACCTCAATGTGTGTAGCGTGGAAATGGTCAGTTGGACATGATGTGGGAGTGTATATTGACTTACCTAGCACTGCACACTGGACAATTTCCATTGTGCATTGGAGATTCACTGGGGTAGCATAGTGCCACACTACCAATGACGTTCCTGGGACAGTCCCAAGATTGTGTTGACTGCGTGGACGAGAGCGGCATGTCTATCCATATCTACAATGTCACCAAAAAGAACGATGATGAGTTCATCATTGGTGTGATGGCACGTCTGTCGCTGACACGTTGGCCGTGGAGACATGGTCTCGTATGTCCTCGAACTGTTTGCGACAGTTTCCGCATCGATGGGCGTTGTCTTCTGGACGTTTGGACTGCCGTTTGGTTGCCTATCGGAAGAGAAACATGGTTAAGTATCGTGTATAGTACTGGGACCCCACCTGTGAAGTTGTTGATTCAGACCACTTCATACGTTCACCAATGTTACGACCTTGCTCCTGACGAAAGTACGCGGCGACTTTGCGACACTTGGAGTCTGGTGCCTTGGAAAAGATATGGCTGTCGATGTTTTGGAAGCTTTTGTGGCACCCCTGGCATTGAAAGACATCCTGAGGTACGGTGATGATGGTGAGCAGCTTGAATAGCAAATCAACTCACTTTCTTGGTGCGCTGCTTCTTTTTACTCTGAACCACTCTGGCTGTTGAGGGGCCAGGGATTGGGGTGGGTGAGCGTGAGGGAGTCGGCCGGTTTTCGTAGATCGGTATCATATTGCAATGAAGTCAAGAGAAACCCACCGAAGTTACTGCTTTGCGTTTGCCACGCGCTGTTGAACTCAGGCTGCCAGTGTCCCCAACATCAATGCCCGAGTCCACGTCGATGTGATCACGACGAACAACGGGAAGCTTGAGGCGCCGGATTGTTGGATGCGCCTTCACAGAACCACATAAGTCAACACGGTGTACTGTGATCATGTGACAGAGGAGATCGTGTGGTGAAAACTGTTGAGTGCCGCAGCTGGGCAATGCACAAACAGAGTCGGTATCGATGGTAGCCGTGTGGATGCGTAAGTGTGCCGCAAAGCGCGCGTGGGTGGTATACCTTCATGCAGGGCCTGAGCAATCCTTCTTGTCCAATGAAATCAAAACTTACTGCTCCATTCGTGATCCCATTGACAAATCCTCATCGTGCACGCACCAGGGGCAAAACATGGGGGTAAGCGCAACACCATTCTCCACATGGCCATGATATTCAGGAAGAGCTCCGTCGAAACCACCGCCCATCTGAAACTCGATGCAGTTGTCGATAGCGGGGAGAACTGTGATGCCCATCGCCTCAGCCTTGACAAGGCCCGCACGTATGTGGGACTGTTTAAAGAGATCATCGAAATGCGCCTGGGAGTGTTCGATCCGATCCTCATCGTGACCAAGGAGGTCGTGGAACCTAAACGTTCTCTATTAGAATCGAATTCAGATTGAAGGGTATTAAGCTTACGAAGTGGATGCACTGGGAATAAGATCTCCTCGATGGTACTGACATCTTCAAAGATTTCGTCCTCTAAACAAAGGGCGAGGAGGGGTGCGAGAGGGTAATACGCTCGAAGGCCTCCGTACTCGGGGAATAAGAAAAATTGTTTGTGGTACTCATCTCGGTCGCGACCGCCTTTGAGGAGTCGTATTTTTACGATGGCCCCAACATCTGGCGAAGGTGAGTCAAGTCGAGGAAATATCCAGACCTCGATATCTTCGTATATGATGGATTGGTTACTGCCACGGTAGCATTTTGACTCCACGATCACGCCAGGACGTTCGGAGGATATCGCGGAGAGGTTGAGGGCAAGGGCCAACTGAATTCGCATTCGGTTTGTACGGAAATGACAAACATCGGCCCAGATGGCCTCGAGTAAAAGTTTGACATCGACAATTGCTGCGAGGGGCTTTGGACGCGCCGTTGTTGACAAAACTATACCAGCTTCGAGACGGTGGTCGGTTATAAAGCTGATCATTTGCAGTCGATACTCTCGCGGAACAATAATTCCAGCATATCGGGTGAAGCAAGCGAAGAGGGTTAACGCGTATTGCTTGAGGGATTTTAAACAGACTGTATCCTCGAGTCTTCCAGTGAGACTAAATGCCAGATGCTTCAAAAATTCTTTGAACATGCCTACGCCAGAACAACGTGCCAAGCTCACCGAGAGAAGGCAGCACGATTCCAGGACCAATCTCAGCAGACAACGCTGCAAATCGTGGGTCGATTTCCGCAAACTCTTCAACCCATTCTTGCCAAAACTTTCGGATCCGGTCGTGGCTTTTCTGAGTTGGGGGAGCGATGCGTTTCATGTGAATGATATGCATCGGTAGGCGCAAAGTACGCTTTTCAAGGCCCTAGCGTTTTAGAAACAAGCATGTTGAGGAAATAAACCAAGAATAGTGGTGGAAAGGAGAGAAAAGGTGTTGGACAGGCGACGCGACGGGGGTCTTTATATGCAATCAGTTTGAGTGACGGCGCCACGCGAATCGCGTCATGATGTCATCTCACAGTGGACTCCAGCGCTACTCGCGCTCAGCTCCGTCCCCGAAATCCCCAGTAGTTGTCCCTCTGGTTCCATCTTGCAATGACCCCTGAGGACGCAATTTTCACCAAAATCCCCAGTGATTACCACTACACTATAGCACCGCCAGCGCGGTGATGTTCTAGCAGCAGCTTTTGAGATGTGGAAAATCAAACAACTAAAGCTTCCCCTTACGCCCATTTGGTGCCAGATGTCTAACAAAGTAAGTACTCTTGGAGTCTTCCCGGACGATTGAGTATATGCGTTGACCAGGCTCCCTAACGCGTTCACCAGCGCTGGCGGTCCACAGTGTGCCTTGTTTGTCGACGACCAAGTGGCGCGGCCGGCGGCCCACCCAACAGAACAACATGGATTCGGGGATCTTTCTGCCCATCCGCCATAGTTTTATTGAGGTTATCATTCCCAATGATGTTACAGTATCTGTGCATGCATGAGCCCTCTGGTAATACATAATGCAATGATTTGTTGAATCTGACTGAGTTCAAGCTTTGCGAGATTGTTTCACTTTCGCTGTGTCAAGGAACGCTACTGCACTACATACAGAATCAACCAGTCGTCAAATCTCGTCAACCAGAAGAAAACTCACGCTCCGAGTATGTCGCCTCTGACCATACTACTTGTTCGCCCACGTCACGACCTGCTTCACGGTGGACGTAAGCAGATTTTTTACGGCACTTTGAGTCAGGTTTCGCGCTGAAGAGGTGTTTCTCGATCTTCTGGAAAGACTGGAATGCTTTGGCGCAACCTAAGCAACGGAAGCTTTCCTGCTTTCCATTGTCTCATCAGAGTCACCAGTTTATTTGCTGATGCTCACCTTGTCGCCGCGTGTCTTTTTCCTGCCCTGGACTGTGACCTCACTACGAGCTAATGACGAGACACAGGAAGCGGAAGAGGTTGACGGCGCTGTAGATGGGCCTGGGTGCATATCTTTGAGGCTCCCTGGCGAACCTGAGCTGAGTATATGCGCTGTGATAAGGCAAAAGGAATCTTACCCAGTTCAGGCACCTGAACTCCTGGCCCATCCTTCAAGGCGCGGTTGTGCGTTTTCTCGGTTGGTTTAGTGATGCTCTTCTTATGAATAATGTTGTCGGTTTCGGCATAATATGCAGCGTAGGCCTCAGCGCTTTTGTTCTTGCGTCGCTCGAGTACCTGGGCCGAAGTCTCTATAGGTCTTGAAATCAATACCATCGCAGGGATGACGGAGCGGGAAGAGATGGTGGTTCGATGACAAGTTCCCCCCGCCGCGAGCAGCGGTTTAAGAATGAAACGGCGGTTGCCGCGTGACACGTTGGGGAATCCCCCCAACGCGCCCCGCCCCAGCAATGGCTGCAGGTGCTCAATGTGTACGCGCCTCGTTTATCAACGCGCGGCTCTGCGGCACGGTACCCAAAAAGGAGATTGCTTCAGCTCATCCGACCTTGTCCAAAATGTGATTTTTATTACCATTGGATTTTTCTACTTACGCTGGTAATTATATCGGAAACACCTACAAGTTGTAGTACAAGTAATGATTGCACCACGGCGTCTCTGCGCGCTGGGAGTTTTTCAATGGTGCTGTCAAAGCGGGATCATTCGAAGAGCCCGTTGAATTCGCCAATAACCGTGTTGATGCGGTGTGGTGTTGTGTCTGTTTGACCGTACCTGCGCCGCTGAAGGACCCGATCTGTGGGTAAGGTGTACATGTTGATATCCGCCGCCGCCGTTGTGTCGGTCGCCAGTGACACAGGGAGCTAGATCCAGTATCATTTTGGACAGGTAATCATATACTTTTTTCCATGGAGATAATATATAAACGAGGACTCACCGACCGTTTGAGCGCTGCATGGAACGTCGAAATTGACCGAAATGACATGTAGCTGACGCGAAATCCAGCGCGGATGATAGAGGGAGGGTTGTCCTTAGGCTATGAGACGAGCAGATGCGCGCATCTCGCCAGCGCAGCTTGGTCCACGCATCTGCTCAGTGTGGGGGGGGGGTCTCAGTAAGAGCGAAGACTGAGCACATGTTTAGCGATCAACCGGGATTTCTATCACGCACGTGATCACACATTATAGCACCAACCCGGGTGCCACAGTTTGTTCTCATACAAACTCGATGCGTGTGTATCATCTACTTCAAGACTCGTCTTGCAAATATAACTTCCGCGGGATATCCTTGACAGTTCTTGATCTGACTCTAAACGAGGACTCCGACTATGTCGTGTTGGGGTAATGCCCAAATGATCCTCGGTTGTACTGTCATTGGTCATATGTCGTCCACATATAACAAGCGCATGTTTGTGTCCTATCCGCTCGTAATCTCGGCATAACTGCAAGGCAAGGGC